GCGCGGGCCGGGGGCGCGGCTGGCCGGGGCGCTCGGGCGTCCGTCGCGTGTGGCCCTTCGGCTCAGCCCCGCGGCCTTTGTGTGTGTGTGCGGTCGGCCGGCGTTGGGCGCCTGCCGGCCTGCGCTCGGGCCTCGCTGCTGCCGGTGTCGGGGTCTGCCGGGGTCCGTGCGCCTGCCTGTGTCCGGTGTCGGCGCGCGGTGGTCGGGGTGACGGCGGTGTCCCTCTTCCTCTCTCTCCCCTCGGGCTCCCGCGTCTGCAGTTCCCGGGGACCCTGGACACCGCTCTCCCCCCCGTTTCTCATTCATTGCCGTCCCCGCAAGCCCGGGCCCCCGCGCGCGTGCGGGGCTTGGTTGGCCTGGGACGTGCCCCCTCCCGCAGGGCTTTGGGTCTCTGGTGCGGTGGTCTGGAGTCCGGCTCTGCAGTCAGGCCCACTGCTTGCCGTCCTGTAGTATTCCTCGGGTGACTTCTCAAGTCAGGGCTGTGCGTGTGTATGGAGGTGGTCCTGGTGAAGCGCCCAGCGCCGTCTGGCTCTGCAGTCAGTTGCTGGGAGCTCCGGATTCCATTATTGCTCCCAGATTTCCCGTTCCACACCGAGTGTGTACTGTCAGTCCTTTGAACACTCCTTGGAGAATTTTGCCCCATCGTTGCTCTTTGTTTAACCTAGTACTTTTGCTGGAATTCGTTTATTTTGAAAAACTTGGTCCCATTCTAAGCAATCCCGGAAATTTTAGCTTGGGTGCCCTGTTGACTTTTTTTTTTTTAACGCGCTTTCGTACAGTTCCATAGCCTTAAAGCAGGGCACCTTCTGATACCACCCTTTTGGAAAAATGCTCTTTGCCTCTGATGATAAGGGGCGGGCAGCTTTATTGAGCTACTATCTGTGGGGCAGGGTGCCAAGCACTCTATGTACTCATCTTATTTAATCACCAAGCCTGCCAGGTAGGAATTCTTTCCTTCAGGTCAGAGTCTTACAAACTGAATCTCAAGGAGGTTGCCCTGTTGGTAGCTCCTGGCCAGGATTTGGGCCCAGGTTTCATGTGTTCTGTATTCTTAGTTTTTTTCTGCAAATTTGTAGCATCAGGTTGTTGTCTATTCGCTCAGGGTCTCAGTCTTTGCTCTTGGTCGTCTGCCTCACTGTCTACCGAGTTTCTGTCTCTGTCTCCTGTGACTTCTGCTCACCGTGTCTCTGGGTAGCTTCTCTCTCTCCCGTCATGTGTCTCGTTCCCGTTCCCTCTGTGTCCTCTGTGTCGGTCCCATCAGCTCTTCATCTCAGTGTGTCTGGCTGGCCTGCTTGGCCCCCTGACCGTGTCTTTCTGGCTGTTCACGTGTGCCTTCAAGAGCCTGGCTCTCCAGCCTGAGTTCAGAGCTGGGGCCAGCTGCCTGTCCCAGGACTTAGGTAGGTTGTGGGAGGGCTCGTTGGCGTGGATGTGGACTGTGGTGGTCAGAGTTGGCTCTGGAGCCAGGCCCGGGGAGTGGCTCTTCCTGTGCCTCAGTTTCCTCCGCTGTGAGGTGCTATGAATCATGGAGTTGGGAGGATTAATTGAGTCACTGTGTGTAAAGTTTGGGGAAGAATGCCCGGCACAGGGTAAGGGCCGTGTCGCTTGCTGTGAGCATCACCGTCTGCCTGGTTTCCGTCCTTTTGTTTCTTCCCATTGCCTTTCTCTCAGCACACGTTAGTTTAAAAGTGGAGTTTTGGCATCCAGGCAGCCACAGGTGGAGTCTGCGCTGCTGTGCTTGGTGCGTGACCTTGGCTGAATTGTCCAGCTTCCACGAGCCCCTGCCTTCCCATTCAGAATGCTGCTGATGGTGTTGGATGAGATAATGGGCATCTCTTGGTCAGCGAGCACCTGGCATGCGGCTGGGACCCCGGCAGCGGCTGTGCTCGCCCTTATCTCTCCTTCCCTGAGCCTCCAGCTCCCCCACCCTTGGGACGCCTTGTCCCCCTGGCATTGCCTGCCTCCCGCCTGCCTCTTTGTTTCCTTTATGGTCTCCTTGTGTGTCCTTGTTTCTGCCTCAGATTGTGCCTGGTCCACTCCTGCTCCAGAGGCCTTTCCTGCCTTCCCTCCTTCTCTTCCTTCCAGCGGTTTATTGAATGGCTCTTCTGGGGCAGCTGCTCTGATGGGAAAATTCGTGTCCATACAGACATGGTTTCTGTCCCCATGGGGCTTGTGGGTCGGCCTTAGCCACAGAGTCAAGACAGACGAGTATATAATCACGAGGATGCCTCAGTCTACCCGTGGGGCCCCTGGGGAACAATGACCACGGTGTTTGGGTGTGTAAAATCTGGGAAGCTTAAACAGAGTTCTCAGGGTGAGTGGGCGTGATCTGGGTGGTGAGGGAGAGGAAGAGCAGGGTGACCGTCTCATGACCGCCCATGTTCATAGTGCATTTCCCACGTACCGGGTTCTCTCAGCTCCCTGGGTTACAGAACGAAACCCCAGTTTTTAGGGGGAAAACTGAGGTGCAGGATTTCCTGGCCCACCCAGGGCAACAGGGTAGGACGTGCCGCACTGAGGTGCTGCTGACCTGTGATCCCTCACTGCACACTCTGCCTTCCTGCCTCATTGAGCAGGGCCCCCAAGCAGGAAGGAGCTGGGCATATTTGAGGAACTGAAAGATGGACTGGGTGACTAAGATGGGGGTTAATGAGGACCAGAGCCTTCTAGGCCCCAGGGGCAGTGGGGAACCCCACGAGGGTGTGGGTTCAGGCTGGGCAGCCCCAGGTCCCGCTTGTATTTCCAAAGGGCCTTTCCTTCTCAGATGCGGTGACCCACCAGCTCCTGCTGCTGTCGTCTTCCTCGAGTCACTCCATCTCGCCACACCCCGGGGGGCCCAGCACCCTCGCCACCACCTGCCACCATGTCGACCTCGTCGCTGCGGCGCCAGATGAAGAACATAGTCCACAACTACTCAGAGGCCGAGATCAAGGTCCGAGAAGCCACGAGCAACGACCCTTGGGGCCCATCCAGTTCCCTAATGTCTGAGATCGCTGACCTAACCTACAATGTCGTCGCCTTCTCCGAGATCATGAGCATGATCTGGAAGCGGCTCAATGACCATGGCAAGAACTGGAGGCACGTCTACAAGGTCAGTGCCCGGGCCTGTAGCGGGCCCTCACGTGCACACGACTGCGTGGGTGGGCGCAGGGCTCAGGTGGGGGTGCCACCGGGCCCACCTTCCCCGTGTTGCGGAGGAGCTGGGGTTCTAGGTCTTTATGTGCGGTCTCTCTCCCTTCGTCCCTCTTCTCATTTAATGAAGGTAACAGACACGAGAGCTTGAGAATGTTGAGTCTTAGGACTTCAAATTCTTTTTGAAAACATGGTACATTGACGAGCTTCGTCCACATAGAAGGCCGAAGCGGGTGCCCAGTGTTCGTCCCTCTGCGTGCCCGGAGCCCAGTTTCCTCTCAGAGGCAGCTGGTGTCCCCAGCGTTTGTGTTCTCCTTCAGGTGTGTGTGGACGTCCACAGGCACCAGGGAATTCTGGGAGCCGTGGGGCTGTTGTGTGTCAGCTCTGGTTATGTTGTCATAGGCGATTATCAGAACTGAGAGCTGCACGTGAGAACTGGTGCATTTTATCATATGTAAACTACCGCCGGTTTTAAAAAGGAAAATGGGCCTATATCTTAGAGATTGTTTCTTGTCAAAATATGGATTTGTCACCTTTTTTCCTTCTTTCCTTTGTTCCTTCCGTCCTTTTCTCTGCCCTTCCTTCCTTCCCTTTTTTAACAACTGCTGGTTACTCGGTGTTGAATTTTTAAGTGGTTTGTGGTGTTTTGCTTTTGTTAACAAGACTGCCACGAGTAGCCTCATTTATTTGTCATTCTCTGGAACTGGAATTTCTGGGTCAAGGGGCACATGCACGTGTCATTTGGAGAAACGTGGACAGAATGCCCTCCACGGGAATCCTTTTGCTGGTCCCTAGTGATGTGTGCACGTGTCCTCATCTAGTGACCAGACAAGACTACAGGCTGTGGTCAAGGGGAACGTGTCTTTGGGCAACACTCAGTGAGCAGTTTTTCCATTTTCTGGCCTGGGTCCTGGTATCCTCCCCTTGGGTCAAGAAGTGGCAGTGGGCACAGGCTGGGGCAGATGGCCAGGTCCCACTCCTGGCAGTGAGGCTCAGACCAGCCTGTGGACCTCCTTCTGTGTGAGCTGGAGCAAGGTTCAGCCGTGTTGGCGAGTCCTCTTGCTGCCGTTTCTTCAGTGAACATTGGCGGAGGGTCTGCTCTATGTGTGGCCGTGGACGAGGCAGATGAAGCTCCTGGCCCCATGGACTGCAGCTGGGGCCTCTGCCGGCTGGGCTCTCCGTCCCTCACCGGCACGGTAGCTCCCTCATTTCCCTTGGGCCTGGAAATGCTCTGGCTCGTTTTCACGCCCATCCCGACAAACCCGGGTTGGGTTCTCATTCCCGTGGACTCTGTGCTGGGTCAGTTATGTTGCTGTTTGTTGCGAAGGACTGGGTGGCGTTTGTCTAGCTGAGAATCAGGGAAAGGGTGAGGGGTATGGGTGAGCGTTCGTGTGGAGGCGAAGGGAGGAGAAGCTTGGTGGGGCTCATGGACCGTATGCGAGGAGAGGGGAGTCCTGAGGGGCCCTGACTGCAGCTGGAGACACGCAGCTGTGGGCACAGAATCCCCGAGAAGTACTTTCCTGTCCCCACTTTTTAGGTGGGGATGTGGAGGCATGAGGAGGCTCGGGGCTGCCCAGAGGGCAGGGGGAAAGGAGTCCCGGAGCCCGTTCTGACTCAGCTGTCACCTCTCTGCTCTGAGGAATCAGGGTCTCAGGTTTTATTTCTTTTTTTTTTTTTTTAAACATTTATTTATTTGACAGAGAGAGACACAGCGAGAGAAGGAACACAAGCAGGGGGGGTGGGAGAGGGAGAAGCAGGCTTCCTGCTGAGCAGGGAGCCCGATGCGGGACTCGATCCCAGGACCCTGGGATCATGACCTGAGCCGAAGGCAGACGCTTAACACCTGAGCCACCCAGGCGCCCCAGGATTTTATTTATTTTAGAGTGTGTGAGAAGGGGGGTTGAGGGGGTAGAAAGCCTGGAGCAGTCTGATGCCGGCTCAGTCCCACGACCGCAAGATCATGACCTGAGCCAAAACCAAGAGTCGGGCACCTAACTGACTAGGCCACCCAGGCACTCCTTTGTTAAGTAAATTTAGTGTGCCTTAAGTCTTTTTTAATAATGTAAGGTGCCTACGTACTTGCTGAAGCTTACTATGTCAGGCAGTGTCCCAAGTGGATTCTGTGTATCACGTTAATTTTTATGACAGCCTGTAGTGCAAGGTCAGCGAGGGACAGCTACGGGGCCAAACGTGGCTTACTGCCTTTTTTTTTTTTTCCTAAGTAGGCTCCGCGTCCAACATGGGGCTCGAACTCATGTATTTAAGAGGTGCATGCTCTACTGATTGAGCCAGCCAGGCGCCCCCTGCCCATTTTTTAAATAAAGATTAATTAGTACAGAGTCCAGCCCACTGATTGTCTATAGTCTGTTTTGTAGAGCAGTGGCCAATTTGAGTGACGGAGACCCTGTGGGCCACAAAGAAAACATTTGCCACTCAGCCCTTTAGTGAGCAGTTTGACAACCACCATTGTGGATACTGGGATCCCATTTCACTCAGGAGGAAAGCAAGGCAAGGGCACGATTAGTGGTCTCCCTGGGAACGGAGATCTCATAGATCCAGGGACAGCTGCTTTGGAGTCTTCCTGGAGTCATGGGCCCCTTTCTAGAGGTGGCTGTTGGTGTGATGAAGCCGCTGAAAAATCACTTACCGCTCTTCTCACTTTGGGATTTGCCCACCCAGAGAGGGCTGAGGGTCTGCAATACCAGTGCCTGGGCGGGCATGCTCAGTTCTGGGAGTGTGGCGGGAAGCGGCAGGAAGTGGGATTCTGCCTGCAGGTTAAGCATCTTCCGGTTGGCTTTTTTCCAATTCCAGAGTAAAACTTAGGTTTTGATCTTCATTTTCCATTAAAAAAAAAAAAGTTACATAAGGAGGTTAAAAGGGGGAAAAAGCAGGGCGCCTGGGTGGCTCAGTTGGTTGGGCGACTGCCTTCGGCTCAGGTCATGATCCTGGAGTCCCGGGATCGAGTCCCGCATCAGGCTTCCTG